TTTGGTATGGACAGCAAAAGCTTCTGTGGTACAAGCTGGGCGCATACTGCACAAGCGGACTCATGGAAGTTAGAAATATCTGTGGCAAAGCCTTGGACAATATCCTCTATTAAATCTGAAGACAATGGAGGCGGCGGAAATGTATCAGATATCTTGGCTTCTGCTTTCTGCTTATTTCTGTACTTCTGGCATTTTGTAGCATTCACCCTGTGTTTGACTTTGAAATCAAATATGCAGACATATTCATCACATTGGTCGCATTGATGCTGCAAAAGCTCATTTACAAGCACCTCCTTGTGTTTATGCTGGGACACATGTACTAGGTGATGGGATTGAGCTACTTGCCAGAGATGCTGCTTTGATAATTTGGTTACCAATATATTGATAGGAATATTTGCAGCAAGTATGTGGTCATTGTCTTTAATACTTTGCAGCATTTTCTCTGGTACATAGTGTTGAAATGAATATGTAATGTTTATGTCAGCAGTTTGGGGTTTGCAGCATACAAAATGTTGTAACTCATTATATGTCCAAGAATTTGCATACCTGCCCCTACGTATTGCAGCACCTCCTCTCAGTACAGTTGCAGTTGTATATGAAGGTGTGATAGATATATGTGAACTGTTAGATTTTAATTGGGTCAACACATTAAAGCCCAGATATTTGTGATAGAAAACAACAAAGTCATGATGTCAATAATAGTTACGCTGACAGAGACATTTTACCCGCTTAGCTTGGATATTGACAGATTTCAACCACAGTTCATGAATGATTATAATGTGTTTATAGAAGTGAATTGAATTCAGAGGCCTTGTCATGCAGGTGGCCCCTGAAACCCTATGTGCATACAGGTGACTTGTTATGCAGGTGTCCCTAAAACCTATGTGTGCATAAAAGTGACTTGTTATTGCACAGGTGTCCCTCAAACCCTTGTGTGCGTGCAGGGACCTTGTCACAAAGGTGGTCCCTGAAACCTCACTGCAGAGCAGCTGATATGAGGGACTTGTCATGGAGGTGTCCCTCAAAACCTCACCAATGACCCTGTCCAGGGGATTACCAAAAGGTGCCCCTGGATAATTATAGGTATGTTAGATCAATAAAAGTGTGACCAAGATTTGAATGCACCTTGAAGGCCAGTGACCGCCAGATTGCCAATATTGCTGCTCACAGCAATGGTAGAAGAGGTAGCACTGTGATATAGCAGCCACTGACATGGTGTCAGAAGGCTACTATACCACAGTAGCAAGTATAGAATGTGCTGGGTATGCATAGTGCAAGATGGTGAGAGGAAGAAGTGAGAGAGGGAGGTGTGCGCGCATCAGAGTTCAAAGTTGAACATGCTTATGTAATCTCATCACCTGATCAGGTTGCCATATATGGTCCAATGGCGCACATTAGCTGTAAAACTGCATTCATGATGGTCTGAGCCTTTGTTAGGATCATTAAACAATCATATAGACAGCACCATTGGATAGAGATTGAAATTCTGAACCTGGTGGTATATAACACTTGGGGGTGAGGCAGTGATGTCATCAGGTCATGTGCCATGGGCGCTTTTTCTAGTTGTGGCACTAATAGGATCTTGTCTTGCGTATAGTGGCAGCTGCATTAGTCACATTCAAATCATTTTTGAGTATATGGACTCTGCTCATGCATAGCTTTCTGTTGATATATATTTCATGACATATAGCCAACTGGGGGCCAAGATATTGAGGTGTTTGTGTTGGGAACCAAACAAGACCACAGTCTGTGGCAGGGGAACACTGAGCTGCGTTCCCCTGCCACCAAGTATGGTCTTGTTTGTTCTCAGCCACAGCTGCAACTCATTTTGCCCCCTGTTGGCTCATTCTTTACCACAACATAGGATAATTATATATCATTGGAAAGGTCTTTCTAATGTGGATCTAATGGTGGTACAATCATGGTTTATATTGAATACACAAGCTTTAATGCACCAAACTCCAATTGTGGCTGAAGGTCATTGCCAGATTGTATGCACAATACCCAGTCTTTATGCTCACTGATCCATCCATCTGACTTCATTATAATATTGCAGGACACTTTCATTATATAGGGCAGAAGATAGTGCTGGCAATGCATTAAAGGAACTGCATTATCTGGACCTGAACATTCTTTTACTCCAATTTATGCCTTCCATTGGCATTCTATTGACCTACAAACAACACCATTGTGTAGAGCTCAATTTTCCGAACCTGACAGTATACAATACTTGACATTATGCCTGGGAAAACACTGACCTAGACCCACATTGATCCCCATTAGTGACAGATTGTGACCCAGAGTCACTTATGGTGGGTTGGTTGGCTTGTAGCACTCCCACATGTGCTCAGAATATCATACAAACACCCCCATTGCATTCTCCTCATCAACAGCTTTCTGGTGATATATGATAGTGGTATGTTACACCATACACTTGTCTATTAATGAGCACATTATGTTGAGCTGTGGCTGAAAACAAACAAAGCCAAAGCTAGTGGCACGACGACGCGGATTAGTGTCGTCGTGCCATTGGCTTTGGTCTTGTTTGGCTCCAAACAGAGAAGGGTCAATATCTTGGCTTCTGCTTGTCCAAATGGGACATATAATATATCACCAGGAAGCTGTTGACAAGGAGAATCCATCTGTGCAAACAAATCAAGGATGTAGTGACAGTGGAATAAGATATGGACTAGATATATTTCTATTAGTGCCACAATTGGCAATAAGCGCTAGTGGCCTGGCATATTCATCAAATGGTCAAGTATTATGTACTATTGGGCTCAGAATATTGATCTCTATTCAATGGTGATGCTATACTCAAAAGTCCACTGTACAATAGATGGTATACCTCAATATATCACTAGAAAGAGGCAAGTGCACATGATTAAACCCATATCTCTGTCAGTTTTTAATATATATACATCATTGTTTCCATGGGAGGCCCAGTACATGGACATAAATGTCATGTGGACACATTATAAACACTTGGGCATATTCTTGGCTATAAACAATGCAGGAGCAGCATTAGCCTACAAAGTGGTATAAAATGTACCAAATCGGATTTCTTGCAGTGATCTGCTTATTAATAAATGTTGATCTATATATCATTAGACTCTGCTGGCCAAGCTCTACACAATGGAATGGTTTCCTAAGCCTAATATGCAGGATATAGTGCAGAAATGGCCAAATAATGCGATTTAAAGAAGGGTTCACAGGGCCTGATCCTGTCGGTCAAATAGGCGCCGAAAGCGTGATTTGGTGAAGTCCGATGGGCGCTAGTAGATCGCGCTGGGCCAGTGCGATGTACTAGCGCTCGTGGTACTTAGAAAGACTTTTTGAAAAGCAGCCGCTTTTTAGAAGTATTTCCCTCCCTGTTTCACCAGTTCCCATCCATATAGCACATATCATATATCATCAGAAAGCCCTTAACAAGCTCTACAATATGGTACTGTTTTGGTTTTGATTGTCTCCACATTGGGCAACAGAAAAAGGAAATACTTTGATTTTAGTCTTTTAAACAAAGACAGAGTAGATAAACTGCAGTTTCAATCACTCTAGTAACTGCCATAGATGAAAGAGATACAATCACATATATCATGGCACTATAGCATGTCCTATGTGTACACTTAACCACCCCTCAAATACGTGATCAGTGTTCTCTCTTGGCAGGAATAATCATAGACCCTTCACCACTACTAGCACAATTGCTAGTAATGTAAACTATATAGATATACCCTTATGCTATGATGCACATTGTGTTTGAGTCTATATAGATGTTTGTTATAGCCTGCATTTGAGTGTGCATGAAGCCGCAGGTGTGTAGTGCCACCTAGGGTTACATAGACGCCTACTGGGAAGCATTAGAGCCTCATTAGCAGATGGTCAGAGTGGCTGTGTGCAGCAATCTAGTGTCTAACCCTAAAATTCCTAATGGAGGAGAACCCTAACCCTGGGTTTGTAAGCGGAGAATGTATGTGGCGCCTATCTCAACACTAATGGCTGATTAGCGGAGTTTCATAATATTTTCCCACGGGCATCAATTGAGGTGTCGCGAGTTGGCAGGAAGGTCACCTCATAAGAAACGATTTCTTCGTTCCTCATCAATCGTAATGAGTAAGTAATTTTTTCCCACGGGGTCGGATTGGCGTCACGCGCGTTGGCAGGAAGCTCACCCCATAAGAAACGATTTCTTCATTCCTCATCAATCGTAATAGTTACTCAGTTCAAATATCTTGTTTACCATATTCTCTTCCATCTTGTTTGTTACCTCCCATACCTCCCCTTCGCTACCTTCAATCCAACCACTTGTCAACCTCCAAACCTCCAAACCTCCGCACTTCCGAACCTCTGAAATTAAGGACGAATGGAACAAGTCCCAGGGTGTTGCTAATAGCTTCAACAAAGTCCTCCCGCTGAGTCATCTTCCCTAACCTCCAAACCTCCGGACTCCGAGCCTACGTACCTCCGGAATCCGTACTACCGCGTTTTCGGGTTTTTGAACCTCCGCATTTTTGGACCTTCGGACTTCTGCTCAGCACGCTCCTAACAAACTGGCCACTGTTCATGTACAATGAGGAGCTGATTGTCCCAGGCAAGTTTAAGCCGGGGCTATTGCAAAGCCGCTTTTTGGTGAAGGTGACATCCTGCTCCATGTTGTGTGGTGTAGCTGCTAATGCCTCTTCCACAGTGCACTCAGCTCGTGTTCACCGGACCCTAAAGCGCCAGCGATATCGACCTAGACGACAGCAAGGCCCGTGGCAAGCCAAGCATTGCAGTGAAGTACAACATCACATGCGTCACTCCCGAGCACATTGTCCATGTGGCAACCCTGGTATGTTTATTCATGCGGAGCTACACAACTTCTCATGCTTGTCCAGGTACGCTCACTCTTGAGCTCGCAATGTTCATGGGCCCAGAAAAACGGCAATTACTTCAGGCCGGAGTTTGCGTGTGTGTTGCTTCGGCTGTTTGCCCATGACTCACAGTGGACAAATGACACCCTTGCGCGGTACGACAAGTAAGTGCGGGCCATTGTAATATGATCTATGCTGACATATATCTAGAATCGTCTATGAAGACTGTATCTACGACGAGGATGAAGACGGCAGAAAGGATGCCGATGCTGCCATGGACACCGAGTTCAATGATGACGAGCCCATGGAGAACGGCCACGGCAACAAATTTGAGGAGCGTGAGGATGAGGAGGAGCCTGTGCCGATTGTGTATGCGGACGCACAGGATGAAGATGCGGGCGACACACACAACACCACCCACAGCCAAGTGAGCTATCAAGATTAGGTGTGCCCTACGCCATGCTGGTCTACACCACCCCCATGTCCCTGTGAGTTGTGCACGCGCGCGCACTCAATACGCACAGTTGCTCGCTCTTCCATCTCATCTGCTCACTTGTGTCCATGCCTCTCCCCGCTTCTCTGCCTGCACGGTGACTCTCGTCCTCGATCTAGTTCCTGCTCTCTCATCATGCCCGCTCTCGGAACCACCACTGCGACAGTCATCCACCCTCTTTCGCGCGCTTACTTGCACCTCCTGTGGTAACTCTGATGCACCACACACCGTACGCGCCCAGGCACCCCTTATGCACCAACGGCCGTACATTAGCGACTAATCTGACATAAGCGTCGGAGATTGTATTTGCCCTCCAAATGCGGTAAGAGGCCCCGGGAGAGGCTGCAGGGCCTGTTATCTCAATAGATAACAGGCGCTTTCTTATCATTTCAGCCATATCAGGCAGGCATTTACTAATCTAATCTACTGGGCGCTCTTTACGATCACACTTCGTCCAAATCAGGTAGGTGGCCCCAATCCTGGGGTGGACCACCATGCAGGGGTACCCCCACCTGCCTTAGCTCGCTCTATTCTTATGCGATTAACTTCGTTCTTTTTGCAGTATGTTCGAATTTATTGGGCGCTCAGAACGCGCCACTTTAGACGGTGAACGGTGCAGTAGTAGTGCCAGTATCAAGAGAGCTGATATCATGTTATAGGAAACGCGGTTTTGCGCGTTGCGCTCCCGTTTCGTACCGCGTCGACACAAAAATAGACGCATTTTGAAGGTATGTACTATATCTCTCGGACGAGACCTTCCGCGCGCGATTCTGTGCAGATACGGTGGTGCTGCACGGTATGCAGTGGGGGGAGGGCTGCATACTGCAGCTCCACCAGATCTCCACCAAATCGCGTCGTTCTTTTTGCGCTTGGTGCTAATTTTGATGTGTAATTAGGGGGTTCCATTTGAGTGGGACCGCGCGCACTCAGGACCGCGCAACGGAGCATCCTCTGCTCAGCCACACCCCCTTTCCCAGGACGATCACGCAACAGCCGCTGGGCGGATTGCCACGCAAATTACATTTCCTAAAAGCCATCGAGTGTACCTATCTGACGGTACATTACACGCCGCGATCCGACCGCTGGTCGCTCCGGGGCAAGGTATATATCCTCCTTGTCCTCTGTCCCCTCTATAGCTTGATTCATCTATGTGCCTTGGCTACAGCAGCTATGTAATGCCTTTTTCCTGTTTATATGTTGCCTAATAGTGTATATTGTGAGTCTCAATGCTCTACTAGGATGTGTTTGCAGCATAGGACACAATATACATATGTTCTGCACAGCTCTGGCAAAAACGCGTGTGCAGCCACAGTAAATGTTTTAATCACGGCGCTCTTTTTTGCGTTTGATAGCCGTACTGTACATGCATGGACGTGTAGAATTGTAGAGCGATCGGCAACGAAATGATGCCCTAGCGCGGTTTGCACCATACCACATTAGATGATCACTCCCGCGGGCAAATCGTCGCCAAATAGCCTATAAAACGCATATTCTAGTAGCAAGTACATAGCACTATACACGTACAAAGTTTCATAAACGTTGAGGAAGAAACAAGCGAGCTATGTCCGAGACAGTGCTCCAGCACTCCTATCACCCAGACCGTCTTAAGACGGTCTGGGCGGCTGTGCTGATATCTCTCTGTGCTCGCAGCTAGGGTTGCTGCAGGAGAGCCCTGCAACACTAATGAGTTGACATCTCTGCGACTTCCTCACCTAAAATTACGATCTTGGGCTCGTTGTGAAGGTGTTTTCAGGGGGTTTCCAGCCTGGTAAATATCGCATTTGACCTGGGCAGTAGTTGAGTGCAAATGAGCGATCTTTCTCCGTACTGATAAGCCTACAGCACGCTCACCTGGTCGCCGATAAGGCTGAAATCTTGGTATCATGTGCAGAGGGTATGCATACACTACCCTGCGAAAGCGATTGGCATTTAGGTACAATCCTGGCTGCCGGTGGCATGTTCCACTCACAGGTCCAAAAACCAGCTCAATTTTCGTTTTGTGCACCTTAACAGGGTCCCATATCCATGTAGGCTCATATTATACGCTGTGTATATATGCCTCAGCGTGAAAACCCGGTTTTCTAAATCATTGAAGGGCAAAGATAAGCAGAGAGTGTGTATGTGAGGCAGGAGAAGGCCCACCTTGCCCCGGAACGACCAGCGGTCGGATCGCAACGTGTAATACATCGCCTGGAAGGTGCAGTTCACAGCTTTCAGAACATGTATTTCGCGTTGCGATACGCCAATTGGCTGGCGCGCGATCGACCTGGGAAAGGGGCTGTGGCTGAGCAGTATATTGTCCTTCAACCAGTCCTGAGTGCGCGCGGTCCTATGCGGATGCTACACCCAGATAACACAAGTATATTAGCACCCATTGCAAAAGAAACGAAGCGATTTGGTGAAGATCTGGTGACACTGCAGCATGCAGCCCTCCCCCCATTGCATCAGCTGCAGCGCCGCCAGAACTCCATTGAATCACGCGCGAAGGAATTCGTCCGAGAGATATAGTACATACCTTCCAAACGCATCTATTCGCGTGTTGATGCGGTACGAAACGGCGGCACAACGTGACGAACTCCGTTCGCTGTAGTAGAACATCAGTAAGCCCCA